CCTGGGCTAGTGGAAGGTGTCCCTGCCCTTGGCAGGGGGTGGAATGAGATGACTTTTAAGGTCCTTCCAACCCAAATAATTCCCTGATTCTACAACAATGCAGCCAGAGCTCTTTGCTGACAACCCAAGTGGCAAACCCAGCTAACACCCCTCTGGGGACAGGACTGGGACAAGGGCACAGCTTAGGCTGGGGTACAGCTGGAACAACATGGAGCTTAAATTTTACTTACATGGAGCTTCACCTTTCTGAAAACCCTTTTTTTTAACCTTTTTTTGGGTCTCAGACTCTCAGGTATAACATGTCTCTTGACTGTAGAACTTGTAGTCAGTAACAATAAGGTTGAGTGCCTGTGGATCAGAATCAGGGGGAAGGCTGTGACTTTGAAACAAATCCTGTTACGGATCTATGGCAAGAGTTTGGATTTTCCTTGAACAGTCAGGCTGAAATCCTGAGGCACAGACCCCACCTGGAGCATCACTACACTGAACTCAGGGCAGGGGGTCAGGAAGGTGACAGCTGCAAATGCAAATTCAGCAATAGCAGAATTCCTGCCTCCTGCTCACTCCTGCAAAGACATTGAGCACCTTTTTCACTTACAAAAAAAAATATATTGCTCTAATCCAGCCCAATGGCTGCTATCACCTAACCCATATAAAATCTGAGTTATCAGCTCAACAGAATCATGCTGAGCCAAAATCCCAAGGACACAGAACCAGAACACAGAGCTAAAAAATTAATTAAATACACAAGGTACATCAGACCAGTCCAATGCTGTGTGTGACCCACCCCAGCCAGAACACTGCAGGGTTCACCATCCAAATTGTACATGCCCAGCGTGCCCAGTTTTCACCAAAATATTCAGGGTATTGATAAAAAGGTAAGAATTCAGAAAGTTTTGTACAACAACAGATACAGAGAAGCTACTTGTTGCCCTAGAAGAAGCCACAATCTCACCAGTGTAACACTGCATACAGAATCTACAACCACTTCTGGGGAGACAGGAACATTCCTTATGGAGAAAACACAGATTTTTCTTAGGACCAACATACAGCAATGAAGATAATAAAACATACTGTCACAAACTGCCATGTGCTAGTACATGGAGTGTAAAACCCACTCCAGTGGAGCTGGCTTATAAGATTTATATGGTTTTAAGGAGGATTATTTGAATTTTCACAACAAACTTATTTATCATTATTCAGCAATCCATGTACCCGGATTTAGGCCAAGCTGGCTGCCTGCAGAAGCTTCAGGCTGGGGTTTTAAGAAGCTCCTGTATTTTCATCATGAAAAGGTAATCAGCAGAACAACTCTGTAAATTGTGTTTGGCCCATGTCCCCACTGCTGTGATTGACTCTACTGCTCAGAGAACACTCTCAAAATATCAGCCCAGCTGAGAGAGAACATACTGGGATTATAAACCCCACTTGCCTTTCATTTCTATTTCATAAGGGTGGGTTTCAGTCAACTCAATTAGTTTCCTTTAAAGCTGTCCAGGGACAAAAAGTACATCCTGCTTCCACTGCAAAGCTCTCCCAAGTGGGTTATTTGTTCCAAAGCACACCCACTGCTTCCACAAAAAGCCAGAGCTGATACCTGGACAGACAACACTATATTTAAATGATTTAATTTTTGGTAATTTGCAACACTTGAAGAAAAACCAGCATGATTTAATAACTTAGCAGTGATTTCATTACACAGTGGGTAGTTTGCATCAATATTCAAGTAAATGTATCCAGCTGCAAAATAAGAAGCTACTGTGGTGAAGGCAATGAGCACAGACAACACTGTTTATTGATATGCTTTGGAATTAGATGTCAGTGCTGTTCAGCATGTTCAATTTGATAACAAAAACCACTGCTTTGAAAACACAGGCAACTGGCTCTGCAGCAATTACTGGATTCAGCAGGATATTCATTTTGGTGAGAAAAATCAAGTGGGCAACTGACAGCCACTTGATCCAAAATAAACCCCAGTTAATAAAAAGCAGGAAGTAATGGAACAGGAAAAAACAATGGGGGTGGCTCAAGAGAGAAAGAAGCTCAATACCCACTTGAAAGCCTCAGTTCTACCAAATCCATACTCTTGTCCCACCAAAGTCAAGAGCTTCAGGCTCTGCATCAGCCTGAACACTCATACACCCACAGCTCTGCAATTTGAAGGGAAAGATATAGAAATTCCAGGAGGGTATATCCTTTGTCCTTAGCACAAAACTGAGATGTGTCATCTGATCTCCAGGAAAAAATCATCCCGGTACTGAGAGCTACTGACAGAGGTCTGGAAAGCCTGGATATTCATCCCTGTGCATAGAAAAACTGGGTAGTAACGGCAACAAACAGCAACCAGGAGGTTGCAGAGGTTGGTCCAAGTGACATTTTTGACCTTGCTTGGTCATTTTAACCTCACAGAATCCCAGAATAGTTTGGGTTCAAAGGGACCTTAAAGCTCATCTCGTTCCACCCCCTGTCATGGGCAGGGACACCTTCCAGTGGACCAGTTTGCTCCAAGCCCTGTCCAGCCTGGTCTATCCCATTTTAGGAAGGATGATTAACCACTGCCCGGAAAAGCAATAGAGCTCTCTCACTTGAAAGAATTAAAATTAACTCTTGATGACAAGCTCCATTTAAACTGGGATGTGCAATCTTGGCACAGGAATAAGTAGTTATTTTCTGAGCAATTTTATCAAGAGGTCATACTTGGTGACCATAATATTTCTAACAAGCCAAGAACCCATCAAAGTACTATTAAATTAGAACGTGAATTTGCAATTATCTGACAAGCACAACACAAGAACTCCTGTGGACTAGTTCCAAGTGTCTGTTACAGGATGATGGATGATCTGAGCACCCTGCAGTGACAATGCTGAACATCAGCAATATCATCCAGGAACTACCCAGTGATCCACAGCTACACCTCAAATCCCACAGCTGCTGCAATGGGGCTTTTTGTTTTCTGCTGTCAGATTTTAAAGCACCAAATCTGGAGCACAAAGGGTGGACCCAGGAGCATCAGTTAATCCCATGGCTATGGCTGAACAAGACTGAAGTAGTGCAGGTTTCCAAATTCTGTGGAACATGGATGTTTATCCATTCTACACACCAAGCAAGAGGATGCAGGGTGGGCTGACTGGAGCAGCATAACAGAAAGTGGCATAGTCAGTGAAAAATTTAGTTTTACAGCAAATACTTTTGCAAATTAAAATCAATCCTGGGCACAGCACCAGCCAAAAGAAAGAAAGGAAATATTTTGAAAAATTCAAAGAGGTTTTTTTTTTTAAGATTTTCAAAACAAAATATTTTACTTATTTAAAAATACAGTTTATAGAGAAAAAACAGAGAGCTGGAGAGGAACTTTGCACAAGGGTCTGGAGGGGCAGGACAAGAGGGAATGGCTTCCTGCTGCCAGAGGGCAGGGTTAGATGGGATGTTGGGAAGAAATTCTTCCCTGTGAGGGTGGGGAGGCCCTGGCACAGGTTGCCCAGAGAAGCTGTGGCTGCCCCTGGATCCCTGGAAGTGTCCAAGGCCAGGTTGGACGGGGCTTGGAGCAACCTGGGCTGGTGGAAGGTGTCCCTGCCCATGGTAGGGGTGGAACTGGATGGGCTTTAAGGTCCCTCCAACCCAAACCATTCTGGGATCCTGTGATTCTACACTGTCTGCTTTTAAATTGGAAAAAAACCCAAACCTCTTAAAGAATGTGAGAAAATGCATGTGAAAATATGTGTAAAAAAGTGAGGAAAAAAAAAGATCTGTAAATGTAATAATTTGATTACTCTGGAAAACTGTATTTCAGTCTAGTAACATTCACACTTGTTCCTTTTTGCTCAACAAACATGTTTTCCAACCTTGGGTGAGCCTGAGAAAACATGCTGAAATTTTGCTGTGGTCAGTGACCTTCCTTGCCCCTTCTCTCACACAATCTGGTGTCAGGGCATCCAGTAACCACACCTGAACTGGTTCTGCCACCACCCTGCACAGTGCTCACCCCAGCACTGTCTAATACAATGTTTGAAGAGTCACTTCACCATTAACTGCAAGGAAACCAAGCCCTGAGTTTCAGGCAATTGGATTTTTTTATTTGGCACCAGCCCTGGATGTGGCACACGGGCAGCAGGTGTGTGAGACACCACATCCTGTCTCAGCTTCTCTGAGAGCAAAGATTAGAAAAATAACAGCAATTTCCTTACTGCTCAGCACAAAAGACACTTCTATACTGCTGCAAATACTTAACTGTGTATGTTTTCATCATGCAGGTAATACTCAAAGCTTGATCTGCATTTAGAGTTCAAAATCTTTATGTCATTTTCATATTTTTCATATAATTTAGTGTTGGCTTTTTTTGTTTTTTTGAGCAGTGGTTTTATCGAGATGCTCAGTCAGAAATCAAAGCTGATTTGCAATGCATGCTAGCAAAAGAAAAAAAAGAACCAGACTGTTTATCAATTATCCTAAACATTTTTGCCCATTTTATGTGATGCCATGACATATCCCTGGACTTTTTACATCCTTAACACAGACCTGGACAACTCAACCTGCATTCCACAGCTCTTCTAGATGACAAACATGGTTTAGGCTTCTCTGCTGTTAGTTCAGCCTGAAACTCTGTAACACAGAGCTTCCAGGATTCCTGCAGCTGTACTGCACAGAGAAATGAACTGTTGATTTGGAACCCTTGCTACCAAATTAGCAGGAGATAAGGTCAGGGGATGCAGACAATACAAGAACTGCATCAATTAGCAGGCAGGCAAAGAGTTCTTACAGGGGCAGGATGGATACTGACTTTTATCAGTTAATGGCAACAAATTTATCACCAGGTGCCAGCCCAGGCAATTAGAAAAACCTCATTAAGTGTTTTGCAGCTCTCAGGGGTGAAGTGTAATGAGAGAGAGAGAACCTTCCCTTTCCCTTGCAGAAGGTGCTGGCCTGTGCTACCCCTCTGGGTAGGAAATCAATGAATTTGTGCAAACGAAATTCATTTCACCACCCTGCACCAAGATTCAGCCAGAGAATCTTAGGACACTGGGAGATGCCAAACCAGCCTGCCCACCCTGCAGTGAGCAGAGCAGATGCTCATCCCTCCAGCTCCAGAACCTGCTGCATGAGCAAGACAGTCAGAGCAGGGTCCACTTCAGCTGTCCTGAGAACAGGCACAGTGTCTTTGTTGGGCTGAAGGCCCAGACAAAAAAAGTCTTAAGTTTCTCAACAAACTAAAGATGGAAGAAAATTCAGGATAAAAGCGCTTTGCTTCATGTGGGAGGCATTACTCAAAACTCCAAGTGGAATAATGAAGTATTTAGCGGGGTCTATTGTGACAGGACAAGGGGTGATGGTTTAAAACTGAAAAAAGGTCAGTTTAGACAAGATATTGGGAAGAAATTCTTCCCTGTGA